ATTTTAATAATTATCTTTACATTTTTTCAGGTTATTTAAGTCAATTTTTTATTATTATCTTTACATTTTTTTTGGGTATCATTAATCTCTTTAAGAGCCTCAATAGTGCGTCTTTGTTTATTGATAATTGAGTTGGATGTATCAATAACCGGGGTGTCATAACCGTACACCATATCTGAGTCGTCTATATTTTCATCTGGAGCTATGACCTTAATATTGAGGGTATTTTCTATGGTATCCATTCTTTTCATAACAGAACCCATGGCAATAGTAAAATCTTCGAGTTTTTGAGTTAAGTGAAGGAAGCTTTCCTTGATAAATGCTTTGAAATCAGCCTCATCATAAGATTTTTCATGCATGGAGCCTCTGGTTTTTGTGCCAGCGGCTATATCACGTGATTGCTTTGGAGTAATCGTATTATCGATAACATCCATATCAGGTGGGATGTTGTCAACCCAGGAAGGGAGTGGGGTATTATTCGGACCTCTTAACGCAAAGGATCCATCCTCATTGTTGGAAATACCAAATTTTAGCTTAATTAAGTACGAAGGTTTTTCTTCTTGATGTCCTTTGATTATTCTGGCAAAAGTCACGTTTGGATTGACCGCTCCTCGTCTAGGATGGGATAGAGCCTTATAATTATATTGAACGGGCTGGAAATGTTGGTATAGGTTTTGTGTATTTCTGTCGTTGGGTATTTTTCATTTTTTATTATAGTCTTTAATTTTGTGATGAGGGAGGAACAGATGGTGCATAATTTCTTTTGTTACTTGTCCATTCTACGTATTTACCATTAATCGTAAGGTTATTATTACTGATTGCTGCTTCGTGATCTTCTGCCGATGCGAAGTAGAAGAAGGCATGTTGTAAGTTATTATAGTTAGACCTAGCCTTAGGGATAATCCATGTTGTCGCATTAATCATTAGTCTAAGTTCGGCTAAATTCTTACCTGTGGTATAACATGAAAGGCAAGTGAGTTTGGCTGAAAACTTTGATTGTTCTAGTATTTGGTTCCTTGATAGGTCACACATATAGAATTGTACCATATCATTTAGGATGAAGACGCCGTGGCCTTTTTTAAGTTCTGTGAAGTTAGCGTCATTGTCATATGTAATTGTGGCTTGTTGCCATAAGTTCTTTATTTCCATGATGAATCTAATGATCTTTCCGAATCTGGAAAAGATTTTCTTAATTCTTATTTTTGTTGCGTCCAATGGAATTTCTGTAACTTTAATTGATTGTTGTGGTACAAAGGGATGTTTGGGTACAATGTCGAGGGGCAAAAACGTGCGATTTTCAAATTAGGTAAGTTGACCTTGCAGAATGCGTCCCTTTCTTCTTTGTCGGAAAATGTCGCCTTAAGTATGCTTTTTGATTGGTCTTCTGGGTGTTTGGCTAGGGCGACACCTGAAAATGAATCAAATCTGTCAAACACGAGGTCCGTGACGTCAGATACTTTTGTTTGGAAGGATTTTCCAGGGTATTCGTCTGTTGGAAAGAAGGCAAAAAATTTCGTCTTTTTTGTGAAAATATCTTGAGGGCTCTTGTTGTTGTTTAAAAAATTTTCAGAGGCGTCGTTAGCGTTGTTAACGTTCATTTCACTTTGTTCTGTGATGGCAACTATGGTTGTTTCACTTTGTAAAACTTCTTTGCCCTTTCCTTTATCGAGCGGAAGTGGGTCTACATCCATAAGTGGAGTTTCGTTATTATTGTTGTGGGTGAACATACTGCTTTCAGGTTTAACAGTTTGTAGAGTATTTTGTTTTTTCTTTGGTTGTTGCTCTAGAGTACCAAGGCGAAAGCGAGTTGGTTGTTTTTGTTAGTTTTTATTATTCTCTTTCTTTGGTCTTGGCATGGTAGCGGAAAGAGTTTTTTAAAATTTTTTAAAAAATAAAAATATAAAATATAAAAAACAAAAAAAAAAGCTATTTTTAGATGATCAAGTATAATGTAAATAGTTCATATGATTGGAACATTTACAAGAACGCATAAACAAGCAAAAAGTATAAAGCAAAAGTTGTAATAAACAGGTGGAAAGGGGCACTAGTTGAAATAATCCAAATCGACTAAAAATCAGATGGCTGATTTTAGGCTGATTTTGATACTATTTACGTCTGATTTACCATATTTCTGATCAGTATAAACAGGTGCCGATAGATGTTGATCGACCTCAATCAGATATAGCCATTAAATTCAACCATAAATCAGCCTAAAACTGGTCTCAATTTGGCAACAATTCAGACGCTGATAGACGCCGATCGACTCCAATTGAACATGGCTATTTGGAACTTAAATAACTATAAATCAGCCTAAAATTGTCCTCAATTTAGCAACAATTTAGATATTGATTAATGCTAATTGACTCCAATCAGATAAGCAATTCAGCATCAATAATTGGTATATTTTATTTATTAAATTTATTAAATATTAAATTTTATTAATAATAAAAACCTAATATAAATTTGCAAAAATATAACAAAATATCACTAAAATCTACTGATTAATTCCCTATTAAAAATAGAATAATAAAATAATAAAATCTGATCCATTTCCTCCCAAAATCTCCTTAAATCATCCTAAATATAGATAAATAAATAATATATGATAAAATTATGATCCATTCCTTTCGAAATCGACCAAAAATGTAAAAATAATAAATATAAAATGTAGAAAATAGAAAAATCAACTTAAAATTACCTTTAAAAATGTAGATAATTATTAAAATCAACCCGTTCCCACCCAAATCGCCAAAAAAAACATAAAAAATAATTATTAAATCGATCTATTTCCACCTAAATCATCCAAAAAAACGTAAAGATAATTATTAAAATTAACCCATTTTCACCCCAAATCGTCTAAAAAAAATGTAAAAAATAATTATTAAAATTGACCCATTTCTATTCAAATCATCTGAAAAAAACATAAAGATAATTATTAAAATTGACCTGTTTCTACCCTAAATCGCCCAAAAAAAATGTAAAAAATAATTATTAAAATTGATCCGTTCCTACCTAAATTGCCCAAAAAAACATAAAGATAATTATTAAAATTGACCAGTTCCCACCCAAATTGCCCAAAAAAAAATGTAAAAAATAATTATTAAATCGACCTATTCCCACCCAAATTGCCTAAAAAAAACGTAAAAATAATTATTAAAATCGACCCATTTCCACTCAAATTACCTGAAAAAAACGTAAAGATAATTATTAAAATCGACCCATTTCCACCCAAATTATCTGAAAAAAACGTAAAGATAATTATTAAAATCAATCCGTTTTTACCCCAAATCACCCAAAAAAACGTAAAGATAATAATAAATAATCAACCCATTCCTATCCTAAATCACCCAAAAAAATGTAAAAATAATAATAAAAAATCAACCTAAATCACCTGAAAAAATGTAAAGATAATTATTAAAATCAACCTGTTCCTACCCTAAATCACCCAAAAAAAATGTAAAGATAATAATAAAAAATTGACTTAAATAACCTGAAAAAATGTAAAGATAATTATTAAAATCAATCCGTTTCTATCCCAAAATGCCTAAAAATTCATTATTCACTATTGTCTATTACAGGATCATCTTCACTTTCTTCAACAGTGGATGAAACTCCCCTTCTGACTTCAGTATATTCCTCAGTTTCAGTTATATATTCTTCTACAGTTATAACTTCTGCTTCAATCTCAATATTATAGACCACACCAGGTTGTACTTTTTATGACCACTTTGGAGTATTATAGGGATGTGGCCAGTTATATTGCTGCATATCATCATTGTATTTTCTCTTTCATTGAATTTGAGATAATGATATTGCAGCAGCACAAGGATTGAGTACTTTTCTTAGTAAATTTTTCAGCTAAAAAAAGAAAATAATTAGTGAAATATATTAAATAAATTCGAAATATGTTAGATTAGATAAAGAAAATAATAAACCTCAGCCGATCACTAAGAATATTCATATACAGCAATAACAGATCTTTGATGATTTTCTTCATTTATTTTGCTGATTTCTGTGAATGATATAGGCGATCGCTAAGAATTTGAAGTAAAGGTTGCCTTTCATATTTTGCAATTCATTGGTCATTTTCTTTAAACAAATACTTTGCCGCCTTTACTCGCCAAGCTGTTTTCTAATAAATAATAAATAATATTAAATTATTGATTCAAATAGACCTAAATTCAGAATATATGCTATTTGCTTACTTCATGTACTCAATTATTATTATGAATTCGTCACAGCTCTAAAGGGCCCTTTCCACTTTTCTTAATTCTTCAAGTTGTCTGACGTAACTTATGAAGGGTTTTCAGCCAGTTCATAAGTTGATCAACAGAAGGCCTAAAATTTAAAGCCAAGGATTTTCATAATTCAGGAATCAGACTATGATGTAATGCAGCATTTTTCTCGCTATTGAAAGGTTTGTCATAGTCCAAATTGTTCTTTGAGCTGACAGTTTTCAAAACCGCCTTCATTTCGGCCTAAATATGAAAAGCAGAAAAAAAATCAGCTAAAAATTTAAATTATTTAGACATAAATTTAAACATACCCTGGCCTCTTTTACATTAACCTCTTCTGTTGTCAAATTATCATTGTTCTCAGAATTGTTTTGTGTTGATTCTTCTAATTCATCATCAGTACAATGCATTGGCTTTTTCCCTTTGATTTTGATAATGATTTTCAATTTTTCTTTGTTTTGCAGGAGGACTAGCATTGGACTGCTTGACAGTCGTAATCTTTCAAATCAGTCAAGTCTTAAATATTAAAAAAGAAAAATTAGTTATTGTAAATATAGGATATTAA